ATGCAACATGTATTGTTTGCTCACTCGTTTGCTCTTTACACTGTCAGCGGCCTGTAACCAGGTGTCAAATCCGGAGGTAATTCAAGGAAAAACAGGAACTGGAGAGTGTTTAAAAAATACCAAACCTGCTGGCCTGTGTTTTGGAAATCCAGAAGCCAGAGACAGGGAGGAAGTTGTTTTCGGAATAATGTGGGATCGGTGACTTTTAGAAACGATTAATGCTGCAGCATTCAGTACTGTACACAGTCACTGATAAGGACATATTATTGTCTTTATATGATGTAATACGGTTGGTCATCACCTAGATTGCATGGTGTGAGTTGCAGAGAATATGTCTGCCAGTATAATGGAACTAGATAGCACTCAGCTTGCGTGCTCAAAGTGACAAAAATTATGGTTGAAAATCTCAATAGTAATGCTTCTTTCAAGAAATCACGTATCAAACTGATTCTTCTATTCTGCATTTTCTGTAAAGACTTGACTTGACGTGGCTGAGATCTGTCAGAGCTGCAGTTCAGAGGGTTCAGGCTGGCACAGTTTCTCCCATGCATATACACACACACACACACACACACACACACACACACACACACATACACACACACACATTTTGGGGGTTTGCCCGTACTTCAGCTCTGTTTTATACTGCAGAGAGGATGACAGAAAGTATGCCGGAAGAGAGACAGACAGGGAGAGCACAGGAGCGAATACCAAGCAGGTGGAGAAGGAAGAAAGGAAAGAAACCCTCTGTTTCTCCTGCAGAATATGTCTCCAGGCAGAGGGCATTTTTATTTGATTGAAAGATTAGAGACAATGTGTAACAGATTCAGCCTGAAGACCTGATAACTCAATGAGCTGAAAAAGGCCATGCAGGATCAAATGTCCGGAACATTAATTTATTTTAAAGTCAGGTTCTTATTCTCTACTGAGTGTCTCTCTGTTCCATAGAGGTCGAAGGAGGACACAGAGGATTCTGGTCTATTGACCCAAGTTACCTACAGTGACTAAATGCTGGACCGTTACACCGGCCCGGCCCAGCCATCCAGCCCTCAGGACAGAACTCTGCCATCGCCAGTCATCGAGCAGTAAACACTGAAACAACACATGCCAGGGACTTAAATTAACTGAATTAAAAATATGATTTCTTCCCAATAAACCAAAGAGTACATTCACTTCAAAGAAAATCATTTGTTTTTTAAAAAGTCTCCAAGTTTGAAAATAAATACCTGATTATTTAAAAGGCTTAAAAGTCTTTGCATCTTTAATAAAGAAAAACGTATAGAGGGGCGTAGACCAGATGTGCATAGCTACATCATCAACAGAGGACTAAATGCTCACCATTTATAGATGACATATTTGTCCTCATACCTGCAATGCTTCTGATCAATGATCTATCATATATATATATTTTTACTTTTATTGTCATTACACAGTAGGCCTACTTACTATGTAACGAAATGGTTTCTATATATATATATCAACCTAATGCATGCATATTACACATATCATTATTGAAATATACATTCACATGTTGAAAATAAAAACTAATTGTCAACATCACCTATTCTCAAAATGCAAACACTGCCCAAAATCTCCATGTTGTAGGCACTTCGACAAGGGCCAAAGTAATCCGATTTAATTGAAAACCTGATATTGTTACTCTTGTCTGCCTGAAAACATTGAATTAAAGGTCCCATGTAATGCTTTTCCGGTTATTACCCGTCCCCTTGTGTGTTATGAAGGTTTTTATGCATGTAAACGGTCTGCAGAGTCAAACACCCTCAAAGTACACCTTGTAGCGAGTAAAACTCTAACACAGAAAATACCTGTCTATGCTGCTCCAAAACGCCTCGTTGGAGTCCCCATTGACTTGCATAGAACTCCCTGAATGCTGGTAATAGACGAGTTGAAATCGTGGAGAAATGCTCTCCGCAGGGGGAGCAGGAGCTCCAACAAGCCGTTTAGGATAGAGAGTGAATACCTGGTGAATACACATACTATACAGAGATGCTGTATGAGCAACCAATGTGATTTTGGAAAATTGCACAATTTAAATATATTCTAGTAGACCTCAACAATGGCAATATGATCAGTAGAAATGGCCATGACATGGGACCTTTGAAGTATATTAAATTAAGTTTTTAAAATATGTCATCTGAGCTTAATGCTAACATGCTCAAAGCGGCAATGCTAACATGCTGATTTAAGTCGTGAGAAATGCTTTTGCATGGTGTCCATCATCATTTAGCGTGTTAGCATGCTAACACTTGCTAATTGACATCAACCATACCAGAGGAAAAGCTTTACGGGTAAACTATATGATTATCACCCTTACTCACTCCTGCGTGCAGCCAAAATCTGAAAAAATACTCTTATTTGAAGCACGAGATGCAAAACAAGTCATGCTCTCTGTCCTGACTGTGACTCCTCGCTGCACATCATGTAACTTACAGCAGAGGAACAACATGATGCCAAGAAACACAAATCAAGTTTAGATTTGTGACAGGAATTGATTTATGTTATTGACCTTTACCTTGTGTAACCTACACACTGCTAGTCCATGGCAAAGAGCACGTGGAAGAGATGGAGAAAAACGCAATAAATAAAATATATAATAATATACTGTTTATTTGAGGCCATTGTAGGTATGTTTTTTTTTTTACATTTTATGTCAAGAATAAAGTTGAGATGTGGATATTCTCGACATATAAACCCTAAGGAATCTTTCTATCCTGATTTTTTCCCCCCAACATTTTACATTCATTTTTACTGATGTCAGCGTTGGCTCTAATTGTAATTGTGTCACTTGTTTAGATACACAAAAAGAAAGAAATGAGAGACATAGTTGGTCAACTGGTCAATGTGCATTAATGAGCTGTTCCCACGCCATGCACTCATCAACGCTACCTTCTGAGATGGGTGTTGTGTTTCACTCCCAGCGGACACACACACGCGCGCAAACACACACACACACACACGCACACACACACACACACACACACACCAGCGATGTTTGTGATCGGTGTCATGTTCACAGCAGTCTGCAGCCACAATAGCTCTATGTTTACCCAAGTGAAACCAAATCACGTAAACATCACAGTCTTCAAGATGCCACGCTCATATCTGTGTCAGATTGAACATGTGCAGGTGCTTGTTAGTGTCGAGGTAGAGACATAAATCTCCACATATAGATGGTTTTGCAATTTCAGCCTCTTGAAACAGATACCATCTAAATTCTTAGAATACAAACAGAAATGTTCAAAGAAAATTCCTGTTTATGCAAAGCACATCATAAATAAAGCAGAGGAAGTTTGAAGGGAACATTTTTGTACTAAGAATATTGACATCCACCATGACAGGATTTTCACTGTTCAAGTCAGTGTTTTTACATGGGGTGAAAATCAACTATGTGAAAATAAATAAAAAACTGTACACGGATTGCTGTCACCTGCATTTTTTGTTCCAAGTTATTCTATTATTGTATGTTAATGCAGATGAAGCTGAGGATGATTTCAACTTTCTTTGTACACGACTGTACAGCCAATATATTTGGCATTACCTGAACACACCTCAGGGAAGAGTTTCCAGGCAGTGTTTGCTAACAGCTGCATAACCACGCAATAATATAAAAAGTTTTTCAAAACTGTGATTATCTTCTACTGTAAATCTCAACAGGTTCGACCTCGGTGCAGGAACAGCTGGGTTTCATTGTAGTGCAACAATGGGGCAAAGGTGATGCTGCAGTTTACTGTGACAACATGTTGTGTTATCACAGTCAACTGTGAGTTTGTGTGTGTTCATGCAACCATATCCTTTTCTTTTTTTTATCTCAATGCACCATTAGACATTGCATCATC